TCCAAAATGTGCTACAACAAAACCTTAGCGATATCAGAGGAGTGAAAAACCTGGTGGATAATATTATTATTCATGGTAAAACCCGAAAGTCACACGATAAAGCACTAGAGAATTGTCTAAAACGGCTAGCAGCACTAAACTTGAAAGTGAGAGGGGGAAAATGTGAATTTCTACAACACGAAATTACGTTCTTTGGATTAAAATTTACAGCAGCAGGAACCAAACCAGATCCAGAGAGAATTGAGAACATGGTTAGAGTACCAGCTCCCAAAACTGCTGGAGAAGTTAGAAGTTTTCTGGGAATGGCCAACACTTGCCACGAATATATTCCAGATTATGCAACTATTACAGCACCTCTAAGAGAACTAACCAAGAAAAACATTGCGTTTAAGTGGGAAAATAGACATCAGAAAGCATTTGAGCAACTGAAAAAGAAACTAACAAGTACCCCAGTTATGGCATATTTCGATACAAAGAAGCGAAGTCTAGTAATCGTAGATTGCTCCCTTTATGGAATTAGTGCAATACTAGCACAGAAAGAACATCACAGCCAGCAGTACAAAATCCTTTCCTATGCAAGCAGAGCACTCAGCCCAGTTGAGACAAGATACTCTCAAACAGATATTGAAGGACTTAGCTTAGTATGGGGAATTGAGCATTTTCGAATGTTCTTGATTGGATCAGAATTCGATGTGATAGGCCTAACTGATCTTCAAAAACTCATTAATAATTCAGGAGCAAAACACAAAGATAAATCATAAGCGTGTCGTTGTTTTATATGTGATAAAAAAATCACGTTAATTTACATAAACTTTAGCTTTGATTTTCTCGGTTTAGACAAAGTTTATTTTAAAAATTACTTCGCCAATGAACTCGTATAAGATGAGTCGCTTTTAAGCTATTTAAAGCACTTGTAGCCGTGTTTTATCACATATAAAACACTCCGCTACGCGTCGTGTTTTATATGTGATAAAACTCTCCTACGCGTGCTTTAAATAGTACATAAAGCATTATAATCTATGTTCAATAACCCAAGATCCAGACCACCAGCCCACATCGAGAGATGGATGACGCAATTACAACCATTCAACTTCAAAGTCATTTACCGCAAAGGATCCTTAAACGAAGCTGACTACTTAAGTAGACATGCAGCTGTTATTGAGTGAGAACAAATAACTGGTACATCAACAGAAGAATATGTGAACTATGTAACCAACTGTTCAGTTCCAAAGTCAATGACACTTGACGAGATTAAAAAAGCAACCCATAACGATCCAGTATTACAAAAAGTTAAGAAATGTCTGAAAGATGGAAAATAACACCAACCGAAGACAAACCATGGACTAGTGTAGCGATCGACTTCTATGGTCCAATATCCCGAACTGGTCAATACCTGCTAGTGGTTATCGATACCTACTCAAAATTCCCAGAGGTAGAAATAGTCAGCTCGACCGAGGCAAAAACTTGCATACCAAAATTAGATACGATATTTTCCAGATATGGAATACCATCAAAATTGACATTTGTAATAAATCATCATTCAGTCCATTCTATAAGTACTGAACGCAGGCTCGCGTTGTGCGCCAGGTGATGCTATACAACAACAAAGTTTTGTAAAGAGATGGCAAAAATAGTTGAAAGATTAGCACTGTTAATTAACTAAAACAACAATGACTGTAGGTATGCTATTTTGACTTGTGTGAGTTTTGGTGTAAAACGTAATCTGACAGGCGGTGTAAAATGTTTTCATTCAACTCTTGTTATGTTTGCAGATATACTGTTCTTAGCTTTATTATATACATGACAAAATTACTGCAATCTGATTGGTTAAGAGGAGTGCAATTATTTCACTAACTATTTATCTTCTGTAATCAGTGGCAAATACTGCAATTTCATTGGTTTACAAGAGTGCGATTTGAGCATTAATCGCACCTTTTCTGAGCTGTAATCGCACTCTTGTCTACAGCCAATGAAAATCAGTTATTGCTGTAAAAAATTTCAAAATGGAGGAATTCACAAATTTTGACCTTTTAATTTTTAAATCAGCCCTCGAAAACCGTCAAAATTGAGGTCGGAAAAAGATGCCGACCTAAATCTGACCTAGCTCGGCACATCTCGGCTTTATTGAAAATCTCCATGTCTTGGAGCACTAGTAGCCTGCACTAGTAATCACGTATTTACGATTCATTGAAAAGTATAAATGTCACGAAGGCTTTTCTTTTAGAGTCTTACCTAAATTATATCATAATACCCGTTAATTCTTAAACCTTACACCAAAGTGTATTGAATTCTATAATCGCTGACTTTTTAACAGCTATTAGCACCAAAAAAGTTTCTTACTTTGGCTGAATTAAGGTTGGCAAAACCTGGGAGGTTGATAGGTCGGCATTTTAATAGTGCAGGTCGGCATATTTGCCGAATGTCGATCCCGTTTTCGAGGGTTGTTAAATTATATATTTTCTGACGAAAATGACCTACCTGTTCTTCCAACAGAAGACACCGAACTAGACACAACCAGGAGTTACATTTCAATCAAATTCAGATGATTAACTGAACTAAAGAACTTCACTATTTTGAACACGTTATAAACATACAAACATGGCTTCCCAATTGTGTGTTGAATAATTCAAACAAATGTTGTCATGTGATTATACCGGAAATAATGCCCGGAAGTTAATAATATGTTAATTTGATTATATATGATAAATATAATTCAAAATTGTACTATTTCACTAAGAATTGTCGTGACAAAAATTTAATAATTATATTGAATTTCAACAAATTGTATTTTTGTGCTTTTCCCCCTTAAACAGTCTGATTACAGAAGATAAATAATTAATAACTAATAGAACGAATTAAGTCGTGCTATTAATGCCATAATCATACTTGTGATTAACAAATCAACCTCCCGCTACGCGGTCGGTTGATTTTGTAATCACTCGTATGATTATGGCATTAATAGCACTCCTATTCGTTCTATTACCATCATTAATTGCACTCTCCAGGAGTGCAATTAATGATTTTCGTGATGGCTGGGGGGAGCGGGAAATCAAAACAACAAAATCCAATATGGCGGCGAAATTTAGCTAATTATTTCTAACAAATGTGGACGAATTTAACTGAATTTTGGCACAAGAATGAGTTTAAGAAACATTGTATGGCAAAAAGAGCCTGTGGAAAATACCTGGAAACATTTTTAAGAAATAATCTTGGCGGGATGCAGCGAAACGTGACTATGTAAGTTTGAAATACAATTTATAAAGATTTTCTTAGTCTAAAATATGTTGTTTGAATTTGAATCTTGTGTTCTAGTTTAAGTTATGTGCATTTGTGAGTTTATAATCACTTCCCAAGTTTGTTTATACTAAATTGCTTACAAAGGAATTAAGAACTCTTGACAAAATGCAGTTGAATATAAAGAAAGCGATTTTGTCATGCATATAATAAATAAATAATCACACGGGCAAGTCGTACAATTAATGATTAACAGTGCTCGTGATATTTGAAAAATGTGCCAAATTGCACTCGCCTCGGCGGCTCGTGCACTTTTGGCACATTTTTCAAATATCACTCGTGGTGTTAACCATTAATTGCACTCCTTCCCGTGTGATTACCTATACTAATATTATTAACAAAACAGAATGAGTTCAAATTATTAATTTCAAGTAATTTGAAGTCAGTATTGAAATTAGTTTGCTCTCTTACACATTTTGAAAAGTCAAACATTGAAAACAACTTGCCCTATACTTTATTGCCCCTATAAAACGGTTTTCAATATTTTTGTTTTTGAAAATTGAAGTCATGTTTATCTCACTCCTCATGGCAAACACCTGACAAACCATACTTTTGAGACCAGAAGAGATCCGCTCATGACACCCATTAATTATGGCCAAGCGCCAGCGATTATTCATGAACTTTGGACTTCGCTAATGCTCACTGGGGGGCCAGTTGTGTGACGAGTTAAGATTTCAATTTTCGAAAACAAATCTTTGGAAAATTGTTTGACACAATTAACATTCCACCAATTTTGCTTTGAAGTGATAAGAAGACTTGATTTCTTATGAGAAATCAAGAAATATATATATAGGGAACTTTACTTTCGATGTTTAAGGTTTATGAATTTTTTTCCTTTAAAACATGCCCTACTTCCCTTTCCAATGTAGCTGTAAGTTTATTGTATTAAAATTAAGGACAAAAACGAAACCGATTTCATAATCAGGAGAGGAAATTCATTTCAACACCCAACAGAAACTAATCAATAATTTGAACTTGTTTTGTTTTTTTCGGTTAAAAATAATAGATTTTTTGCAAAAAGAACACGAAGAGAATGAACACTTCAAGACATTTTATCGTGGCGAAGTAGTTAGCGCACTTGCCTTTCACCTCTAAGGCCGCAGGTTCAAATCTCAGTGAGAACTTCCCAATGTGACTCGAACCCAGTCCTCATGTGAAAAGAGTAAAAGTCAACGTTCTGCCTAAAGTCGTGGGTTTTCTCCGAGTACTCCGTGTTTTCTCCCACAGGGAAGTTGACAGGGTGGGTTAGGCACATAGGTCTGAAGCAGATCATTAATGAGGTATGGACTAATAGCGGCTGCTCAAGCGCCAGTTGTAAGCTCAAAGGCTACCTCGGTCTGCTTCACGTCAATCCGGTTCTATCTATCTATTCATAATGTAATCAGTCACTGTAAAGCCGTGATAGGGAGTGTGCTGTGAAATATCTGAAATCAAGTGTTTCACATTAAATTTTGCGTTAAAATCAAAACTCACAAAATGCAAAGTAACGTACCTGGAAGTAACATCCCTGAAGATGAAGCTATAAACACTGGGCCTAATTTTAACCTTTTAAATTTTCATTATAATATAATCGGCATCTGTCAGACAATGTGATTGGCTAAAGCTCGAGAATCATTACGCAATAATGCACTTTAATATAAACCTCAAATTTCGTAGGGCTATATATTTTCCTCAATAGAGAGGTTAAGATACCCCGGTTCGGTTTACGGGTACGGGTGATATACACCTACCCGTACCCGTAAATTGGGGAACGACTTGTATAACTTAAAAAATCCAAGATATTCCGGCGTGTGAAAACCAATGAGAGAATGGTAACTTTCGCTGTCGAGGTTCGCCATAAATTGTTGAAATCTTTGACGAGCATATAATAATGCATTATTTATTTAGGTAAGATGTTGAAGTTTTTTTGCTATTTAAACGGCCCGCAAATAGTAAATAGAAAACAACCGTAACCGTTTGTCTTTACGTGTAGACCTTGGTTTACCGCGGGGAAACGGGTGGAAATTACGGGTAAAATGCTGACATCAGCAAAAATTGTTAAACAAAATTGCGATACTCGTACACGTAAATCGGAAACGGGGTATCTTAACCTCTCTATTAGCACGGGTCGGTACGACACCGAGGTAATAAATTAGCCTCCTATTTTTTTCCATTTTGTGTCGAGCCGCGCACGTAGTCGAAGAGCCTGCTGAGGAGACGACAACTTCCGGTAAGTAAGTGTACATCTGGGAAATTTCAAGCATCGGCCAAAGCGAAACGGAACCCGAAGCTGTCCTTGCACAAAATCTGTCAAAATTGTTTATTTAAAACCAGAACATGTGATAATTTTGACATACATGTTTAACTT